GTTAAATGTACATACATTTTTAAAATTATGAAATAGGTTAAGGATAATCTACAATTGATTTGATAATTATTTTTTTTTTGATTTGACATTAAATATTAAATTGCAATACAAAATCGTGAATAATTTTTTTTTATAGATTATATTGTTATTAGAAAATCTATATAATAATAATTTTTGTCTAGAAATGATAAATTTTATTATGTTTTATATAGCATTATAAGAGAAATAGTATATTTATAAAAGAAAAATACATCTATTTCAATATAAAATATAATTATTATAAATAATAAAAATAATATAAAATAAAATATATTATTTTCTTATTTTAAAATAATTATAATTTGTAATAAATATTTATAATCTATATAATTACATTTTATTTCATTTTTTTATTTTTATTTCTTATATATTATATTATATATAATATAGATTACTTTGTATCATTTCTTTTATTTAATTACAAGATAATTATATTATATTGACTGTTATATTATAAATATTTTAATAAGAAAGATATCTAAATTCAATTTAAATATTATATAAAATTAAATTTATTATAAAATTATAATATATTATTGCTATGTACATTTAAAATTAATTTTATACGCTAATATTATTTTTTTTATATTTTGTATATTTATATAAATTAATTTTTAATAAAATACTATATACAATGATAAAAAATATATTTTTTTTTTAATTTCTAAAAATTTAATAATTTGAAAAGATTAAAGAAGTAGAAAAACCAAAAATGATTTTAATTGATAATATATGTATTATTGAGTATAATTATTTATGTATAAAATTTATATTAATAATATTTTTATTGTACATAATTACAATAAATTTTATTTTATATAATAATTATAGAAATTTTTTTTTTTTGGAAAATAAAAAACATATGAAATCAACTATATAAATGGAATCTATGGAAACAGGACTGATAAAATCAATATATAAATATGCATATATAAATATATTATTAATACAGAATAATACATTTTTTTTACAATTGTAAGATAAGCTGATATTTTTATTATAATCAATGGCAGTGAAAACTTACAAAAAACATAATTTATTATGATATAATAAGATGATTATTTTGTAATAATAATATTTATTTATATTTTAAATTTTCATTGATCAGAAATCAATATTATTGTTTATGTATGCATATTATATGTGATGTATTTATTTTCAATATAACTATATAAATAAAAAATATAGTACTGTGAAAGCTGTAAATTAAGCTTCATTATTATAATTAATATTATGTATTTTAAAAATTAATTTTTCAATATATTTAAAATATTGATTTTTGTTTTAACGAATTTTTTATTAATTTAAAATATATTTTAGAGAAATAAAATTATTGTATTAATATTCTAGTAAAATTTCATAAATATTTTTAAAAAGAAATCTTGGGAATCATATTTTTTATAAGTTGCAAAATGAATTTAACTTATTACTATACATTTTGCTTTTTTTTTTTACATTTATACAATTTTACATATATTTTTAGATCATTCTTTTTTATAAAAAGTAAAACACATATGAAAATGAGGAAGACTTATAAAGAAAACAATTGAATATTATTTGTTAACATAATTACAAACAATATTAGATCTTACAATATCACATATTAAAATGTGCCTTATTTATTATTAAAAATTATTGATGTATGAAAATGTTTAATAAATAATATATTAAAATAAAAATTTATTACTAAATTTCTAAATTCGATAATTAAATGAAATTTTCTAAAAAAGTACATATATCTCACAAATTTTGTATTAAAAAATATAATTAAAAATTATAAATATTTGTCATGAGATAAAAGGCACTTTTATATAAATGTTACAATACGATTACGATTTTAAATTTTCAAATCGTTTCGTTATTATGTTTTTATGTAGACATTCATTCTTATGTTATCATTTTTCACTCTATACATTGTGTACATAATTTACACTTATTCACATACATATACATTCATACATAGCAGTCTAAGTCAGCAGTTCTTAACTTATGATCCACAAATTATTACACAAGTGAGTGACTAAGATAAAACATAGGATGTTATTATAGATATGCATTTAACATTGCATAGTAATTTATATAGATTGGATGTACAATTTAAATCTTAAATTTAAAAAATTATTAAAAAAAATTAGTGGTAAATAAAAAGTTAAAGTTAAAGATTAAAAACTGCTGATCTATAAGTTATATGGCAGTATTATAATATCATACTTAATGAATAATTTGATAAAATTTTGTATTACACTAGATTCCATTAAATACTTATCAATTATAATGTTAACAATTCTATTCTATTCTAATTAGTACTAAAGCTTCATTTGCTGCATAATAAAATTTGTTTGTCGTTTAATTAAATATTAATCAATTTAAAATTTATATTTATATATAAAAACGCAATTTTTACTGCAATAAAATAATTCCTTCTATTAAATAAAGATTATTTTTATGATTTTTATTTTCCAGCATATGTTGGATTTTTAAATGTTGATGTTGCTTGTTTGTAAATTGGATTTTCTCCCTGTTTAAAAATAATTATAACGATAAATTTCACAAAATAAAAATACATATAATAAAAAATAATTTGATATTTTTACCGTATCCCATTTAGCCATCATTCTTTCTTTTTCAAATTTTGCAAATTCTCTTCTATCATGTATAGTTGTTAATAATTTCCATAAAAGTAACAATGCAAGACCAATTAAAACAATAGCTGCTATTACACCTAGTACTATACCGAGCATATAAACTTGTGGTGGACATTCCCTTCTTTTTGAGCTCGGACTTTTAAACAATTAGTTTCATTGTAATAATAACAAAATTATATTTGCAGTCATCTTCATCTATACCAAAACATAGAACTTCATCTTTATCAACATCTGGTATAACTGTATCAACTGGTTCAGGAACGAATTCCTTGCAATTTTTTATACATTCCTCTTTATCACTAAAATTACCACTACCATACATTTGGCACAGTACACAATTTTTTAATTCTTCACAACGACTTGGACAAGTTGGACATTTATTACAATGTTTACCAGAATACCTAGTGCTTCCTTCTTCGTGACAAATACATTCACCACAAATACAATCACCCTAGATAATAAAAGATTAATTCACATTATAATTATAAGATAGAAAATAAAATTTTTTGCTAAGATAATAACAAGCTTACATGTCCTGAACATAATACTCCATTGGTAGTTCCTGGTGCAATACAAGTTTCATTTGAAGATCTACAATTACAAGATGGACCAGTCCATCCTGCATTGCAAACACATTGTCCACATTCACATGTTCCATGATTTGAGCACAAATGACCTTGGTCTCGATCACAGGAGAAATTATCACATTCACAAAAATGACCTGATATTATCTGTAAATGAATAATATTATATATTCAATCTAAAAACTTTATATGAGTTTTTTAATCAAAATTATATTTACTTCTTCGGGATTTTCTCTTTCTTCACATTCACACTGACCACAAGCACAAGTTCCTCTTCCTGAACAATCTATAAGAGAAGTATTATCAGGTCTACAAGATTGGAAATGTTTATCTAATCCTGTCATTTCTTGATGAGGACTGCATTCACAACGTTTTCCAAAAAATCCATCATAACATTCACAAATACCACATTTTAAAGTTCCTACACCATTGCATTCTGGTGATTTTGGTTCAAACATAGTACCTTCACGTTCGCATTCACAATCACATAACATTTCTAAATTTAGTGTCAGTGTTTCATTGATTCCTACCTTAAAAAAAAAAAATGATAATTTTTTTTGTCAATTAAATAGTAAATAAATAAGTATATTTTTATTCTTACTGGATAGATATCAAACTTTTGTTTCCATTCTGATCTATTTTCTGGACAACTTGTGACTTCAATTTCTGCTGTAAATTCTACTTTTGTTCCTACTTTTAATCCATCACATTTTGAAGTTTCAATAAGTGGCCCTGTACCCAAACATTTTGAGAAATATTTTACTTTTACAGCACTACTAGCTGTATCTTTCATTTCAACTGAACTTGAAATTGCATCATATTGTTCACGAATTAATTCTACAACATTGCTTGAATCATCTGACAATTTACCAGCAAATGATCCTTCTACATGTTTAGTTAATCTTTTATATACATTTATTTGTTCTTCCGTAACAGCCCATATAATATTAATAGCATTTTGTTTAACTTTTAAATTAATCTGAGAAATACTTGGATAATCTTGCAAAGATGAATGTGTATAAAGTCCACTATTATCCAAATGACATTCTCCATCATTTGGTTTCACAATTCCACCTAATTTACCATCTCCTGCATAATGAAAACCAGCATCTGTTGAAAATACTAAAAGTCTACGAGCTTTTTCACGCCAACCAATTTGTCGTCTACAAACTATAGCTTGCATTATTGCATCAAATCCTCCTTCTGGTGCATCTAAATTGCCAGATACTGAAGCATTTCGTACCAAACTCTATATATATAAAAAAAGGTGATAATAATTTTTATAGAATATTGAAAAATTAAATTATGTACTTACTGCAAAATGACTAGTATCTTGAGATAATGTCATAATATTTTTATAACCATATGGTGCTGCACATCCATCGCATGGTTCTTTTAATCTGAAGTCATACAACGATTTTAAATTAATTGTCAAATAATATATAAAAATTATAAATAATATTCAAGATTATACACAAAAATTATAATTCTCTTTTGGGAACTTACGATTTAGGCATTGTACTAACATAAGGCATTACAACTTTATCAACAAAACTGCCAAAACCTAAACGAAAATTACTTGTAATTTTACTCATGCTTTCTACTAAAAGTTGACCTAAGTCTGATAATTTTTTTTTATCATCTTCCATTGATTTACTCAAATCCATAAGATAATATAAATCAACAGGATAATCTTCAGCTTGTGAATAGGCAAATGTCATTCTATGAGCTTCATCTGTCATTGAGAATTGATATCATTTAATAATGTAGATATTGTTTAATAATGAAATTATTTGTTAATATTTATACTACTTAAAGTAATTAAAAAAATACTACTTGCTGTATAATAACTTACTTATTCTAAGTTTTAAATTAACTTCTTGTGGCCAAATTTGTATAGCTTCTTGTCTTTTGTTACCACTATTACTATTATTACTACTGCTAGTAGTTTCTTTATAGGATTGTGAACCATATATGCTAGAATTTATATATGAATATTCATAACTGTTAGCACCACTTGCATAACCACCTTTTGTTAAATTTCTGTGTCTTATCATACTAAAAACATTATCTGGATTCCATGTATATTCGGCTGGACATGTTGCAAATATTTTGGTATTGATATTAGGTAAAAAACATCGTTTTTCAGAAAATTTCTATAAAAAATAAATATATTTTATAGTCACTTATATAAGATATGTATAAATATTAAATACTTACTGGTGCAGCACACCAGGCACAATGTGGTGTTTGTATACATTCATGACATGTTTGTTTACTAATGCAAGGATTCATCCCAGTCAGTCTTTCTGGAGGTAAATAATTTGCATTTACTGAAGTAATAATTATTACTGATATAATCCATCTTGAACTGTCAAACATTCTGTATATATACATATATATATATATAAAATATATCAGTATTCATATAAATTTTTTTTAAATTAATATAATTTATAGATTATTGAAATATAATTGTAAGAATAAAATAATTTTTTTCAGCATTTGAACTTAAATTAAATTTTAATTAAATTATAACTTCATATAATCATTTTCTAAAAATAATATTAGTAATATTCCAATAATTTTTATAATTATTCTCATAATTATTAATTCAATAAATTTTTAAATTATATATTCTTAATTTATTTATTTCTTCTAAGAAGTATAAATTATCTAAATTCATTTAATAGATTGAAATATATCTATTAAAAAAATTTAAATAATTTTTATTTAAAAACTAAAACAAATTAATTATTTTATTTATAAATATAATAGAATTTTGATTTGATAAGCATGCATATATATGATTAATTTTTTATTATAAAATTATATCTATAAAATTTTTTATAAAATAATAATTAAATTATAAAATTAATAATAATTAATAAAATAATAAAATAATAAAATAAAATAATAATAATTTGACAGTAAGATTATTAAAATACTACTAAAATAGTTTATATATAAAAATGTTTAAATTGTAAAATGGTATATTAAATATTATATTTGTGAGAAAGAAATTAAAAAAAAAATAGAATATTTTTATAATATATAATTAATTATTTAATAAAATAAAATGTAATTAAAATATAACTATATGATAACTATATGATTCTATGTTTAATAATAACTTTCAATTTAGGTAAGTATTCCATATATAATTTAAATAAAAAATTAATCAATTATAAAATTTTGAAATATATTTTCTTTATTATCATATATATATATATATATATACATATATATATATATATACATATATGTACTAAATATATACCTGTAAAATGCAATTATTCATGACTTAAAACAGACCGCTTATTCATTCACAATGATGCCGTCATCTTTATATTTACAAAATGCTATCTCTAATAAAGCTGAAAATATTAAAACAAAAAACTAGATAAGAAACTCTAAAGGCTTACTTTTTCATTAAATATTTTTTCTTCAATTCGATATTAAAACATCACACGTTTTGATCAATGTTTTCTTGTTATCCAAATCGCCATAAAAGGTAACCCATCAAATGCACGCACTCCACAAACTGCCTATACAAGATTGCGATAGTCTCAGACTTAGAAGTCTTGGTTTGTGACTAAGTTTGATTCTGATTATATATACAGCATAGAATAATAATAAGTAGATATGCAACTATGGAACTGAAATGAATAAATATAATATTAATGCTACATGTGCATATAATATTTTCACTATAATTTTTCTTTTTTATAAGATATACAAGAAAAAAAATTTTGAAATTCAGTAAAATTTTTAAATATAATGTTATACTTTTTTAATATTGCATTTTTATCAATTTTAAATAATATTATTATATTAAAATAGCTAAAAATATGTAATTAAAAATATTTTTAATTATAATATAATTTTTACATATAATTTTTGTAATATTACTAATGAATGTTAAGGTACGTTTTCACACGATAATAATTTGTGATTTTTTCAATCATGACACTAAATATCATACTTCTTTCGTGAAAACTGTTACATCATGAAAGATGTGTTACATTGGCAAGGCATTGAATTGTGATACACACGCTATGATATAATGTCACGATACGAAAATGATTTATACTGCCGCATGAAAACATACCTTTAATAATATTAAATAATATTAAAAAATTTCTAATGAAATATTGTAATTTGTATTGTATAATCGAGAAAGTAATATTCTTGATCTCTATTATACATATTTTTTGTACTTAAAAACATATATATTTATAGAATTAAAATAAAAATTCATATGAAGATAATTAAAACATATAATATATTATTTTGAATAACGTTGTTCTTTGATTTTTATATTAATCAAAATCAACTCTATATTACAATGCGCAATGAACGAAAAGACATATTTAGAAAATCTTTGCGCATTCCCACCTCTGAACACGTTTATCCAACTATGTCACATCCGGCTAGGTACTAAATTGTTCTTTCTGTTCCTGGATGTGGCGTAAGTAGGATGTCTGTTTCGTACTTTTAGTTCACATTTTTAAAACCTGTAAATGTTGCGTCATACTTAATCTTATCTTTTTTCTTTGTAATAATTTTTTATTTTTCTAAGGATAAAAATAAAATAAAAATTATCATTTTAGGAATAATTGACCATCATATAAATATAAACTACAATTATCATCTTTAACAGAATAATTTAATTAGGAACTGAAAGTTCTTTTTAATACATCAAATATGTGAGTAATATTCTTATTTTACGTTATAGTAATAAATTTTAGTTGTTTAATTTAATGTTACGATTCAAGTTCGAAATTACGACTAATTTTTATTTTCAAATTAATTCATAATTATTACGATATCTGCAATGCGTGGTTAAATTATATATATTCATGAAAATTGATCGCATAAATATTATATAATGATTATTTTTTTATTCATTAATTATTTTATAAATATTTCAAAGTGATTTATTAATCATAACTTCATTTATATAAATAGTTATGATTTTATTAAAGGTTTCGACATGTAATGAAAACTATAGGATCTCTCAGAATTAGGTTTGTATCTAAGTTTAGATTTTATAAAAATTTACAAAAATATTTAAAATAAACTTCATTAGATCTAATTTAGTTGAAATAAAAATAAATAAAAAATAATGAAATTAATCAATTTTTTTTTATTTTTATTTACCTCCCATTTTGGCATGCCTCCATTTTATATATATGAATGGAGCATGAATGCTTGTGGGAGGAATAATAATTTGAGAACATGCCTTTGGAATCCACATATTTTTTTATCTGGAGCTAATTCTCTATGTTCTCTACATTTATATATTAAAATAATAAAATGATTTTTAATGTATGTCAATTTGTTATAGGACATACGGAGCTAGTTATCACAGTGGAAATTATAGAAGTACTAAAGAAAGAGGATCTCAATATAGAAATAATATTAATAATAGAAATGGACGATTTGAAAATCGAGGAAAAAACAATATGCATAATGTCAATGGAATTTTGAAAAAGCCAAATTGGAATTTTGAAAATTTAAAACCTTTCAAAAAAGACTTTTATATACCACATCCTAATGTTCAAGCACGTCACCCGCAAGAAATAGATATGTTTAGACAAGAAAATCAAATTACTCTTAAAGGAGAAAAAATTCCTAATCCTATTCAGCATTTTGAAGAAGGAAATTTTCCTGACCATGTAATGCAATGTATAAGAAAACAAGGATTCAGTGAACCAACTGCTATTCAAGCTCAAGGATGGCCAATTGCTATGTCTGGACATAATATGGTTGGAATAGCACAAACTGGATCTGGAAAAACATTAGGATACATTTTACCTGCAATAGTACATATTAGCAGTCAACAACCATTAAATCATGGCGATGGACCAATTGCTTTAATTTTAGCACCAACTAGAGAATTGGCACAGCAAATTCAAAAGGTTACTTGTAGTTTTGGCTATGTAAGAAGCACTTGTATTTTTGGTGGTGCACCAAAAGGAAGTCAAGCTCGTGATTTAGAACAAGGAGTTGAGATTTGCATTGCTACACCTGGACGATTAATTGATTTTTTGGAACGTGGCACAACTAATTTACGTAGATGTACATATTTGGTATTGGATGAAGCAGATAGAATGTTAGATATGGGTTTTGAACCACAGATTAGAAAAATTATTGAACAAATCAGACCAGATAGACAAGTATTAATGTGGTCTGCAACTTGGCCAAAAGAAGTTCGAAACCTTGCAGAAGAATATCTTGTAGATTATACACAATTGAATATTGGATCATTAACATTATCAGCAAATCATAATATTCTTCAAATTGTTGATGTTTGCGAGGAAGATGAAAAACAAACAAAGTACTATTTTGATTTTTCTTATATTTTGAAATGTTTATAGTTCAATAGTACTATAAATTATACATATATATATATAATAAACTAAATTATTTTTATTTTATCATTTATGATGAAAATAATTTATGATATTTTATGATTTCATTAAATATTTTTTCCTCTAAGAAGAACTGATATTTCAGATAAATATTTATGTATAAATATTTTATTTTAAAATTTTACATAAAAATATAATATTTTACTTTTTTTACTTTAGATTGCAAAACCTTCTTCAGGAAATCAGTAATGTTAGTCCAGATGGTGGAAAGACAATAATTTTTGTAGAAACGAAAAAAAAAGTGGAGAGTATCACTAAAACTATCCGTCGTTATGGTTGGCCAGCTGTATGTATACACGGTGACAAATCACAGTTAGAAAGAGATTTCGTTCTTTCAGGTATGTTAGTATATAATATATAATATTTCTTATTATATTTACTATATTAAATTTATTATTAAATTTTAGAATTTAGGAGGAATAAAGATTCTATTCTTGTAGCAACAGATGTTGCTGCTCGTGGATTGGGTAAGTAATAAATTATTTGTTCAATAATTATCTTTCATTTTTTTCAAAAATATTAGATTTTGAAGAATTTTTTGACTTTCGATAAGTTTCATATGCGAAAATTTGTACTTAATCAAAAAGGATAGGGTAAAGTGGCGATGTAGCACAGACTGGTTATATGAAGGTGATGCCTCACTGTTTTTAAAAATAAAAATAATTAATATTAAATAATTTATTATATTAATTAAAAATAAACAGTTATAATCAAAAGTTTTAATATAAAAATAAAAGATTAGTTGATAATTTTTATTAATATAAATTTTAATAGAATTCTATGAAAAATTATAGAAAATATAAAAATTAATATTAACGCCAATAATTACCAATATAAAATATTAGTAATTATCTAAAAAAGAAGTTTTTTTTTATCAATTTTGATGATTTTTGAATATGTATAGAAATTATTTGATCATCTTGAACAACTTTTTCCTTTACATATAATTACTGTTTAATTTTAATTTTCAAAATATTTAAAAAAAAAATTATTATTATATAAAACTTTTTTTATATGTATATGTATATGTCTCCT